CCTCTCCATGGGTTTCCGAGGCAGTATCACTATGGAAGTGGATTGCCCCATCTTCCTTCCGAGGAGTAGCTGGTGGGTTTGAACCGCCAGCCTTCTGGTTAGCATCAAGTGCCTTAGGCACTATGCTACCAGAGCTCCTCAAAGAAGGTTGAATATGGACAATTCCATACTATTGGATCTAAAAAGTACTTAGTTACCTGAAAGATGCCAGCTGTAATTTATTTTACTAAAAGCTAAAGAGAAGCTGAAAAATAGAAGGAATTAAAATGTGAGTACTATTATTTTCATAACCTGGTAGGGAGGGCCTGGTGAATTCAATTAACATAAGGATAGTAATGAGGGCTTGAGGTCACTACTGCTAGGTGAGGGGTAACTGGAGAGAGACACATGGCAGCATTAGGAATATTGATAATGTGCTCTCACCAATAGGATGGTTATACTTTTAGGCTATATCATTGATAATAACTGCTTTTTTTTTTTTTTTTTTTTTTCCGTAAATAGCTTGCAGAGAGTAAATGTCAAATGACATGGTTCAAATCAGCCTATCTCCTTGGCCTGAGGGGTGAGGGTCTCTCCAGGAATCCATGATAATGATTGTGTGTCTCCTGTCTTTTTCTTAATCAAGGATTACACCTCTATTAATATGACATCTTTCCAGATGAGAATTCTGGTTTATTTAAAGTTTTACCAGGTGAGTCCAAAGGTGTTCCTATGTTTCATCAATGCTGTGTCTCCCTAGTGCACCCTTGGTCCCTGTGAACTTGGGCCACATTGCTCTTCGCTCAATGGAGGACAATGCCAGTGGCCAAGTGGCATGTTGTGGCATGGTGGTGGGACTCCTCTCAGCACTCAGCCTTCATGCCTAAGGAAATGCCCACTCCGAAATATTTTAACACAAAAACTTAAAGCATACTTCAAAATTGAAATAAACTAAATATTTTTTTTTTTTTTTTCTGGGAGCTCTGGTAGCATAGTGGCTAAGACACTTGCTTGCTGACCAGACGGCTGGCGGTTCAAACCCACCAGCCACTCCTCGGAAGGAAGGTTGGGCAATCCTACTTCTGTAGTGATACTGCCTTGGAA